CATCATCACCACCACCATCATCACCACATCACCATCATCATCATCATCACTCATCTCATCATCATCAATCTCAATCATCATCATCGTCATCATCATCACATCATCATTCATCATCATCATCATCATCCAGCATCATCAGCATCATCATCCTCATAATCATCCTCAAATCATCATCATCACCACCACCACCACCATCACCATCATCATCATCATCATCATCATCATCATCAGCAGCATCATCATCATCATCACTCATCTCATCATCATCACATCATCATCATCATCATCATCCATCATCATCATCCATCATCAGCATCATCATCGATCTCATCGTCTCATCATCATCATCATCATCATCATCATCATCATCATCATCATCATCATCATCATCATCATCATCATCATCATCATCATCATCATCATCATCATCATCATCATCCCGCCGCTTTACTGTGGAAAATTGCCGCCCTTTTCCTCCGGAACCCGGGGGTCCCCCCCCCCCTCCGAAAATCCCTCCCCCCCTGCTGAACCCTAACCCCTCCCCCCCCCCCTCCCCCTCGAAAACCAGGGGGGGGTCACTACCGGTTCGAACCCGCCCCCCCCCCCCGAAAACCGGAGGGAGGAAAACTACCGGTTCGAACCCCTCCCAACCCCACCCCACTCACCGCCAGCAAACGACTCCCGGTCCCTACCACCGTCCGCATCACATCCCTCACTGTTGTTCCCAGCACCACTGTCCTCACCACCACTGTCCCCACTGGCTCCACCACCGTCCCTACTGTCCCCACCAGTGCCCCCACCACTGTCGCACTGTCTCCACTGTCCCCGACACTGTTCCCACCACGGTTCCACTCTCCCCACTTTCTCCACGGCCCCACTGCCCGACTATCCCCACTGTCCCCACTGTCCCACTGACTCCTCCGCTGTCCCACTGAGCTGTCCCACTGTTCCCACCACTATCCCCACTGTCCCCACCACTGTCCCCACTGTACCTCTGTCCCATTGTCCCACCGCCGTCCTCGCCACCGCCTTCACCACTGTCCCCACCACCATTGTACCCTCCACTGTCCCACTGTTTCCACCTCATTCCCATTGTCCCCACACCACTGTCCCCACCACCACCGTCACCACCACTGTCCACTGTCCCCCCCTGTTCCCACCATTGTCCCCACCACTGTCCCCACCACTACCGTCCCCACCACTGTCCCACTGTCCCACTGTCCACTGTCCCCACCACTGTCCCGCTGTCCCCTCACCACTGTCCCCACCACCACCGTCCCCACCACTGTCCGCACCCCCACTCGGTTTTCGAGGGGGGAGGGGGGTTCGAACCGGTAGTGACCCCCCCCGGTTTTCGAGTTCGGGGGGAGGGGGGGGGGGGTTCGAACTGGTAGTGACCCCCCCCCTTTTCATGATGACCGGGGGTGGGGGGGAGGGGTTCGAACCGGTAGTGACCCCCCCCCGGTTTTCCGGAGGGGGGGGGGAGGGGTTTGAACCGGTAGTGACCCCCCCCGGTTGTCCGCCAGCAGCGGTAGAACACGCTCTTTCTCACGTGGGGACAAGCCCTAATGTGTACAGGTAGGACACAAGGTCCCATTGCAGGTAAAAGGGGCGTGCCACGCAAGTCGCCGGTGCACCAATGCGTCGCAGATGGGCACAGGTGGGACACAAAGTCCAAGATCCTTGAATCTCCTTCAGCCAATGGGTATAGGTGGGACACAAAGTCCCAGATCCTTGAATCTCCTTCAGCCAAGCCAATGGGTACAGGTGGGACACAGAGTCCCAGCTCCTTGAAAACGGGAGAGGGGGAGGGGAGGGGGAGGGAAGGACGGGGTCCAGGTGGAAGGGTGGGTAGCCAGCTCGTGGAACGCGGGCGCCACAGGGGCGATGGGGTGCAGGTGGTGGGGAAGAGAGGGACACACGGTCCCCAGCCAGGTGAGAGAGTTGGGGTGCGGGTCGGGGTCGGGGGCGCAGGTGGTGGGAGCGATTGGCTGGACATACATACATACATGCATACCTACCTACCTACCTACCTACCTACATACATGCATGCATGCATGCATGCATGCATCCATGCATTCATACCCTACCTACCTACATACATACATGCATGCATGCATGCATCCATGCATCCATGCATCCATGCATCAATGCATCCATGCATCCATGCATCCATGCATCCATGCATCCATGCATCCATCCATCCATCCATCCATCCATCCATACATACATACATACATATACATATACATATACATACATAAATACATACACACACATACATACATACATACATACATACATACATACATACAAACAAACATACAAACATACATACATACATACATACATACATACATACCTACATACCTACATACCTACATACCTACATACCTACATACCTACATACCTACATACCTACATACCTACATACCTACATACATACATACATACATATATACATACATACATACATGCATGCATGCATACCTACATACATACATACATACATACATACATACGTACGTTAAATACATTTAATTAAATTAAATTAGATTACATTAAATTACAATACATTACATTACATTACATTACATTACATTACATTACATTACATTACATTACATTACATTACATTACATTACATACATACATACATATCTACATACGTGCATGCATGCATGCATGCATGCATACATACATACATACATACGTATGTACACACATCAATGCATACTAGAACCATCGCGCGCGCTACGCGCGCGCTCAAGTTCTAGCCAAGCTTGATGGGAGAACACATGGAATATCATGCTTGTCGATTCTTGTATCCAGGGACTCTCTTGGAGGCCCTGCGCAAGCCTCGGAATCGTATAGAAGGGAAACTGCGGAAACGCAAAAATCATTCCCTGCCGTTCGGTTTTCAACGATTTGGGGCCCTCGAAGGCTTCCCGGGTTCTTTTCTGGGGCCTTAACTGTGGTCTGTTGTGCAAGAGTAGACAAGGGGGGCGAACTTGGAAAAAAACGAAATGGTGGGATCCCCCTTTTTTCCAAGTTGTAGTGCCTAGGCCGTGGGTTTGACGCTTTCTGCATGCATGTCACGGTCTGTTGGGATGCCTCTCGGGGTCTTCGTGCAAAATTAAGCAGGGGGTGAGTTTGAAAAAAAGGAGTTCTAAAATTCCACTGCTTCATCTCATGGGATCATGGAATCCCGATTTCTACCATGGTTTCAGCAGCAGCCAAGAGGACACGAAGACGATCCAACAGAGTGCCAGAACAGCGTCAGAGAGTTCAACAGCATTCCCGAAACATTTTTGCATGTGACCCCGAAGTCCATGGGGCTCGAGGAAGAGGATAGGGAGTAGTAGGAGTCCCGGCTTGAAAAAACTTGAATCTCTGAAATCCCATTACTTTTTCAAATTTTCCGCGGTCTTGGAGCGTTGGAATCGGAAAACGTGAGAAGGCGAAAACCGTCGACGATTTGACCCTCTTCGGGCTCTCTCGGGACGGCTCTCGAAGCTCTCTTGGGCTGTTTGGGGGGCCTCTTCGGGGGTTTTGGGGGAGCCTCTCAGGGGTCTGGGGTGTATTGGAGGCCTCTGGGGGGTCCCGGAATCCTCTCGGAGGTCTCTGGCGGCCTCCTGCTGCCGCTCTTGGGCTCATCTTGGGCCTGTTCTGGGGTGGTCTGGAGCTGTCCTAAGCGCCTCTTCGGCAGTCTTGGGGCCGTCTTGGCCCGTCTTGGGGCCGTCTTGGGGGCCTCTTGGGCGGTCTTGGGGCGGTCTTGGGGGCCTCTTCGGCCGTCTTGGAGCGTTGGAAGCATGAAATGGTGAGAAGGCCAAAACCCCCCCCCCCCAAAAAAAAAACATTTTGGGTTCTCCAGGCGCTCTCGGGGGGCCTCTCGGAGCTCTCTTGAGGTCTCTTGGAGGCCTCCTGGGAGCCTGGAAAGCCGCCCGAATGCTATCCTGGGTTGCTTGGGAGCGTCTTGGGCAATTCCTTTACGCTTTGGGGGCTTCTTGGGGTCGTCTGGCGCTGTCTTTCGGCATTGTGGGGGCTCCCCAGGAGGCCGGGAAGCGCGGTACCGAGAGCGTAATCGAGATGTGAGCGAGGTGGAGGACGCCCCGGGAGGGGGCCCGGCGTATTTTATATATATATATATATATATATATATATATATATATATGTATGTATTATATGTATTATATGTATTATATGTGTATATATATACATATATATATATATATATGTATTGCGATTGGCGCGTTAAAGAAGAAAGTTTAAGGGGTGTGCCAAAATGGGCATGCGAGGGCAGAGACAGGGATGAACGTAAGGAGGAGGAGGAGGAGGAGGAGGAGGAGGAGGAGGAGGAAAAGGAGGGGAAAGGAGGTGAGGTGAGTGACGCGGGGCACCGTCTCATCAAAACGAGGACTATTTTTCAAGACGGGGCTCTCGCTGGACACTTCATTGAACTCGCTGGTCCTGTCGAGTTCCGTACGGCCGCTCCTCCTGAAGATAGATCTCTCGCCTGAACTGCAGGCTCGCGGGGCGCTCGTCTTTCAAGGGGGTGCTTCACGTGGTGGAAAATGCTGCATACAGGGACTTTGAAGGAGGGGACTCGGGACAAGAGGGTTCGTTATGGCATCGTTGGTGCATCATTGGTTTGCTTGAGTCTTCATTATCCTCCTCAGGGACGGTGCCAAACAAACGAGGATGTTAACCAAGCAACGTACGATCACAAGAAACCGTAGAAGGATAAGCCGGCATATCTGTTTAGGAGGGATTGGTTGAGAGAGATGAAACTCTGGATGGAAACACGAGGGTCGGATGTTGCCAGAGGTGTCGTCGACCTGCGGCGTCCACAGCTGTTTTCGAAGCCTGTGGGAGCTCCTGGGGTTGTCTGGGCCTCGTGATGGGTGCTCTGGTAGCCACGCGGACCTGCTGGAACGGCGGGGGTCACTTTCACTCACGGCCACCTCTGGCAACCTCCGAAGCAGTAGAAAACGGAAGTCCTCGCTTGGGATTCTTGCCAGACTGGCGCGTCGAGCAACAACGCGGCCTCGGCATCCGATTCTTGCCCTGCCCCGGGCGAGCCCTGACGAAAGGACGACATCCTTGAGCAGACAGGCTT